TATATATATATATATATATATATATATGTTTGTTTTTTTAAACCAGTCATCATGATTTTGCAGTAAGTATCTTTAAGTGTACATCCTTGTTATTTTTTTTAATACTTTATATTTTTGCTATTTTTGGGTGTAACGGGGACCTTGAGTACACATTTTTGTTCCACCTCATGTACCACGTGATGCGAATGACAATAAAGAAACTTGAACTTGAAGTAAATAAATAACCACATTACTTTCATTGTTTCATCTTCCTAATGAACTTTCGGGCTTTTGGGTGCAATTATTTAAAAATTTTAAAGTAAATGCAATGAAATGAACTTATGGACATTTTAACAAAAATATTCCATGTTTGTCTATTTCAGTGTTTTGTTGTATTTAATTGTATTTGGTATGTAAATATGTAAATGTGTTTAACATAATAATATTTTTGTTTATTTTTTTCTGTTTAGCTTTAACTGTTTGTGAACAAAGTGTCAGTCTAGTTTTTATAAACCATTAGTTTGAGAGTCAACTCTATCTGTGGATGCTGCACTCTATTCTCCGTGATGCTCCAACATAAATTACTTTGAAAGTCAAGCAGTGAGACAAACACACTGTAAACAAAGACAAATGGTCCGGCCTTTTTCTCTGTGTGTGCTTCATTTGCATTTGTCAGCTCCCTCTTCAGCTCGTTACGTTGCTCCTGCGTGGACTCGGGCTCTTCCTGATTTTTCCTCTCTTGGTGTTGCCTCTGGCACCAGATGCAGCCCAGTTAGCTGGCACAAAGTCCAACGTGCAGCTGAGACCCAGCTGAGTTTGTGGCGCCGCAGATACTACGTGTCTGATCATAATCTGACGGGTGCTGAGCATGTTTCATGCTTAGTCAGAGCGGGGCTCCTTTTGGCCACCTCGTGCATCATAGAGACACCGAGCAGGAACGTTTGAAGGCGTCCAGCAGCCAGATGAGCTTACTCACTGACAGGCTGTGGTCTCAGTTGGCAGGTGGTGCTGAGCCTGTAACTGTGGCAACCCTTCTCTCTACACTTTATCCCAGTTTAACAAGCCCAGCACCCTTCTGGCTCTATCGCTCCACTCTCATGTTGCTTGGTTTTTTCTTATCGTATTGTCATCCCCGTGAAGCATCATTATTCTAATTATCAGTGTCATTGTCACAGAATCACTTTTCTGGAGCAGCAATTAGGAGCCCAACTCAAACAGGCAATGAGCTGATTTATGTGGCAAATTAAAGGCCTGACACTCCTTAAAGGAATGCATTATCACCCGCTGCCAGTTTAGAACCAAAACTCTCTAATGTTGAGATATAAAATAGTTAAAGACATTTTGGTCAAACCTTGAAAAGAATGTATGATAGTCTGGTAGT